CTATAATGTTTCTTTCTTCAGATAGTGTTTGTTTTCCCCCATCACTTCAAAGTTTGAAGATATTTGGTCCCTCTCCCCATCTTACCTTTTGGTTAATGTTTTACTTGTCCCATATTGCTTTTAAAAATCCAGGAAACAGAGGACTCAAAGAACTTACATGTACAACCCATGGACATGAACTGAGGGGGTGGGGAATGCTGGAGGGTTGGGGGGCAGGGTAGAAGGGGATAAAGGGGAAAAAATTGGGAAAACTGTAATAGCATAATCAATAAAAATACTTAAAAATAAAAATCCAGGAAAATCTGAAATAACATTTTTATTTAATTTAACAAAATTCTATGTAGTAAAAAGGGGAATTAGGAAGTATACCAGTGATTTTAAAGGTGGACTTAAATTAAGATCTTAAAAAGATAGTTATTTTTAAAAATAGCTAAAATTTCACCAAGTAGTTTAATGCTGTGAGTTTGAAGGAGAGAAGTCTCTTGATACTGGTTTTTAAAGTTTTGTCAGGCATCTCTTCTCCTCCCTGCTTACACTAAAGGCATGCCAGAAAAACGAGAAGTCACGTATGACAGCCCTAGTGCAGGTGCCCAGGAGGCAGAGGACAGGAGCAAACAAACTGCAGATTCTCTTTGCCTGGGATAGAATGGAGGTGGGTTGAGTATTAAGGGATGATTATTTGGTTCTGGGCTATATGCCTCCCTTCCCTGGCCGCCTTTTGGAGTTGCAGTCTGACTTCATTGCTATAGTGACCTGTATTCATCTGCTTATCTTCAGTAAAGGTAGTGAGACATGAAGTAGAGAGGACTGATGAACGCTGGGGCAAAATGCAAAGTGGTAGATAAACAGTTATATTTCTTTGACATATTGGCATGTAAGTGGTATCACCTTACAGCAAGCATGGAACATACATGCTTAAAGGCTTGAGCCGCCATGTAAGAAGTCCAGGTGCCCTGGAGCCACCACGCTGTGAGCAAGCCACACTGCATGGAGAAGCTACCTCCTTCAGGTGCCAGATGTGTGAGTGGAGAAGCCTCCACGTGCTTCTAATGCCCAGCTGTTGAGTCTCACTCCCAGCCCTCAAGTTGTCCCAGCTGAGGTCCAGATATAAGGGGGCAGTCACCCCACTGTTCCCTGCCTGCATTCCTAACCAGTGGAACCTGTGAGCATAATAAAATGTGTGTTATTTTAAGCCACTAAGATTTGGGGGTTAGTTTGTTACTCAACAGCGGTAACTGGAACAGCAAGTAACATAAACCTTTCTAGCCCACATGATCTTTTTTCACTACACATTTACTATACATGTAGTCAGTACTAATTTGTTAATAATTATTCATTCTGCCCTGGCTGGTATGGCTCAGAGGACTAAATGCCGACCTGCAAACCAAAGGGTCACTGGTTCGATTCCTGGTTGGGGCACATGCATGGGTTGTGACTCATCCCTGGTAGAGGGGGTGCATGAGAGGCAACCACACATTGATGTTTTTCTCCTTCTCTTTCTCTCTCCTTCCCCTTCTCTCTAAAAATAAATAAATAACGTATTTTTCAAAAAATAATTCTCCATTCTGTGATTATTTTATTTGTGGTACTTTTCTATCCCAGCTAGATTATAAACTTTTTGAAGACAGTAGTTATTTTTAAAATATTTTATAACAAATACTCACCTACTGCCTACTTGGTTGTAAGCACTGTTCTAGGTGCTGGAGATAAATTAGTGAACAAAAACAGACATAAACTTCCTGCCTTAATGGTGCTTATGTTTTAGTGGATGTTTTGTGCCTATTACCTTACTCAGAGTCCTGGATTTACAGTGGCTCATCAGTGATTGATAAATGCTAATATTAAGCTTTTCAATTTTAAGATTTTTCTGAGGAGATTAGCATTGCATTAGAAATTTTAGTAGAGGAACACTAATAAGTTGTTATAAGTAACTTTAAGTTAGAACTCATTTTCTACTGCCATTTTTATTCATTCATTACATTTGTTAGTATTAACTTAAATTCCTTTTTTATATAAAGTAGTATTTACTCTCTTCTGTAGTTGAGGAGAGACACCATTGGAAGTTTTTATTGTCTGTCATGTTTGTGTTAGATCTCTGAGTAGGGAGAGAAGAAAAGTCTTTCTTGAAATCCCTATTCCAATTCTACTGTGAAGGCAGGCATGCAGATGGAAAGACGGTAGCAGTGGTTTGTTTTCTTCAACCCAGTGTGGCAGTGAGTAGTAAGTAGTTAGACGTTGTGAAAATTAGAGAGGGAGCCAAAAAAGGCATTGAAATGTGGAAATGATATACAGTGTTTTGATCGATCACATTTACCTTCTCTTACACTGTTCTTTTGAAAATTTCTTAAGGCACACAAACCAAAATACCTAAGTAAGCATTCCTGATTATATTTTTAAAGTTACAACTCAAATGGCATGTCCTCCACAAAGCTTTTTATCAAATAAGTAGTAATGATTTCCTCCTTTGTTTACTCAGGATGCCTCATTACACCTTTAATGTAGCACTAGTCGTGTTTTGTTATGTTCTGTCTCTCCCCGGACTGTGAGGTCCTTGAGGGTGGGAGCTGTCTTCCTCATCTCAGTATCTTTATAATGCTCTTCTTCATAGACACAATATAAATTATATGTTAGTTTAGGTTGTGTTGAAATGTAGTATGTGACTAATAATGACACTTCAGTACATTCTATCATGTCTGAGTGAGAACCCACCACTCAGACATGATAGAAGATATCATTTCTTCTTTTTGTAGTCTCTTAAGGTAGAAGTTTCAGTTATTGGTTTGAGATGTTTCTTTTATAATTTAGGTATGTGTAGCTTTTGTCTAAGCACTTCTTTCTTTGCATCCCATAAGTTTTGATATTGTGTTTTTGTTCATTTATCTCAGAACATTTTCTAACTTTTATCATGATTTCTTCTTTGACCCATTGGTTATTTATTTGAGTCTGTTGTTTAATTTCTACATATTTGTGAATTTTCCAAATGTCTTTCTGTTATTAATTTATAACTTCATTCCATTGTGGTTAGAGAATATACTTTGTATGATTTCAGTCTTTCAAAGGCTTGTTTTGAGGCCTAGTATGCTATATTCTGGATAGTGTCCCATGTTCACTTAAGAATAATTCATGATTTCCTGTTGATGAGAAGGGTGTTCTGTAGATGTCTGTTAGGTTTAGTTGGTTTATATTGTTGGTCAGATCTTTGCCTATTCACATCTATTTCTGAATCCCTGTAGTGATTTTTTTCATTTTATTTATTGTAGTTTTCAACTGTAGGATTTCTATTTTTTTACATAATTTCTCTGTATTTTATATTATGTATTTTGTGAGATATTGTTTTTATATTTTGGTTATTTAGATGTGGTTTTCTTTAGTTCTTTGTACCTATTTTAAATAACTGATTTAAAGTCTTTGTCATATAAGTCTGATGTCTATGCTTCCTTAGGGAAAATTTCTGTAAATTGCTTATTTTTCTGTGTATAGGTGGTACTTTCTTGTTCCTTTGTGTTATAAATTTGTTGAAAACTGGACATTTAAAATTATATAATGTGGCAACTCAGAAAGTCACTTTCTCCTCTCTCTCTGAGAATTAATGTTTTTTTCCTGGTGGTTATTTTGTAGCTTTTTAAAATTAACTGTATCAAGTGGCCGCAGAAGTCCCTGCTTGTTTAGCTCAGTGACCAGCTAATGATTGGACACAATCATTAAAAATTCCTTAAAAGTCTGGGACCAGTGAGCCCCCCAGGGTTTGTTGAAGGACTGTGTATTGGAGCATGCTTCAGCACTCAGGCACTTGACAACTCTGCCTTAGCCTTCACTTCCTGCTTGCAAATTGCTTCACGGTCAGCCTTAGATGAGAGCTTAGAGCCTTCTCAGGTTTTTCCTGAGCATGTGCACAGCCCTGCATAACCTTCTACATGTACATTACTTTCAGGACTCCCAGGAATATGTCAGAGGTTTTCAAAGCCATTTACTGACATCTCATTCCTTAGATTTTCCTTTTGAGCTTTTTGGTTGGCCTATTGTATGCCCTGTTACCCACTGCTTAAGGCATTTGCAATGTGAAACAGTTGCCTGTGATTGTTGTCCACCAGTGTCCCCAGGACTAGGCTTTTTGCACTGGACAAGCCCCACTTTAGGTCCATATAAAAACATCCCTTAAAGTAGGGTCTTCCAGGGAACCACCACATAGATCAAATAATGATAATTCTGTAGGGCTATGGCTTTGAAGGAGGTCCAAGCCATTCGCCCCCCTTTGATGGCTGACAGGCTGCCCGTTTACACCACAGCGGGGGGATGTTGATTTTCAAGGATATTGCAGAGCTGGAGCAGGGGAGGGAGAACAGAAATAGGGTATATTAAAATGTCACAAAGCTTGCTTTCTTACCAAGATTCAGCTATTTTTTTTAAAAAATAAATGCTGTCTGGATTGCTACAAGTTTTCAGTTAATATCCAGAGTTCTGGAAAAGTTGACTTTGACAAGTTTTGCTAGTTTTTCTCATTGCTTTTATGGAGGAGAGAGTGTTTAGAGATCCTTACTCTGCTATTTTTACATCAGTTCCTTTATTTCTTTTTTCCTCCTCTGAGAAGTTAACTATTTTTTTTTTTGCCTCTTCAACTCAAAACACCAACAAATATTTTATATCTTCTGTGATAGTCCAACTTAATTTCTCTCAGTGGATTGGGGTGGTCTTCTGCCTTCTTCACAACTTCTGTTTTTCTGCTTCTTTTTCTCTAAAAATTATTTTTAGACCTGTGAGAACAATTCAGAGTTAGTAAGTCATAATCATCCTACCACATAAAGACAAAAAAGGTGATAGTAACGTTGCCAAAAACATAGAGTACTGCCAGCCAAAAAGGCAGTCTTCTTGGACTTTGAATAAATGGCTAAAATATTAGACCAGAGAAAAACATAAAGCAAAATTTAGAATTTTAAGAAAACTTATTTTATTATCTGCTTCTGTAACTGTTCCGTATTTGTTGTTATTTCACCCTCTTTTAGGATGCTCGACATGCGGCAGAAGGAGAAATATATACCAAACTTAATCAAAAAATTGATGAGTTTGTTCAGCTTGCTGATTATGATTGGACAATGTCTGAGCCAGATGGAAGAGCTAGTGGTTATTTAATGGATCTTATTAACTTTTTGAGAAGCATCTTTCAAGTGTTTACTCATTTGCCTGTAAGTATAAAATTTTTTCAAAAAATTATAATTTTGCTTACTAAAGTATATTTTAGAATTCAATTTCAGTTTGAGGTTTACTTGTTTAAACCAACTTCCTAGATTGAGTATACTTCCTCTTCCATTATTATAATTCAATTTGTGAAGAATCCTAACTTACACAATTGTTTGAAATTTTGGGGTTTTTTTTACTTTTTAACTGAAATACCTACAATCCTCTTTCTATGAAAACCAAAATAAAACTGTGAAATTGACAGTGTAGACTTATATAGAGATAAGCTATAATAGAAGTAGTTTTCATAAAAGTCAACATGGCTTTTCCAGCTAGAAAAGACCAAGACATTATTGGATATTTTCAGGACAGAGATTAAAATAAAATGGGAGCATTGTTCTATCTTGACATATAGTCATAGTGTATCTGTATCTTGAACAATCTGTTGATGAAACATTACCTCCAGAAAATGTATAAGGGGACATTTGAATGTGAATAAGCTCAAACATTGGCTTCTTCAGATAAGGAATGCAAAGACCAAAGAGATTGTGGTGGAATGAACATGTGCTCTTTAGGTATATTCAGAAATAATAGAACTACTGTTAAAATGTGAATGGACTAGTCTTCATACAAATAAAATAGAAAAAAAGTTATTGACTTTTCCATCTCATGATAAGATATATCTGAACACAAATATAAAGTATGTAATTTGAAGCGTACCTGCTTCCAACCATCTCCTTTTTTTAAAATGAAAAATAAAGATTATTTTCCTCATCTTTTACTCTTTCCCTATCAGGAGTTGCTCCAGGGCCCGGTTAGAATAGTTTAAGGAAGGTGTTACTGAACAAAGAAAGAGAAGAATATCTTTAAAGAGATTATAATGGTGGATCTGTGCCAAAGAACTTTGAGAAGCTTACCTAGGGATGTTATTATATTCCTACTGCTGTCCTTGAGTTACAAAGGGGAACCTTTATATATATTTAATTTTTATATCAACTCTTTTCTAAGAAGTACTCTTCATATAGTATGTGTTCAATAACTGTTGAATTAATTTAAATTCATTGTGTCAGTAGAAGTCTTCCTGCTTCTATCCAAAAGCAATCCTCAGGAATAAACACACGCTTGTGTATGCACATCTCCACAAATGTACACCCATCGTGTTTTCATGTTGTAATACCTGGCTCATGGGCTGGCGTGAGCCAATAGGTAGGAATTTTGTGCATGACTGTGGTGGGATTAAGAGAGTTATACAATAGAAACATTTGGGGTAAATGCCTCGCCTCAGGAGGCTGACATCTGCAGAGAAATCCTATTTTCTCATAGGACATATTCTGATGACATTGAGAGAGACACACTCCTTGCCTAACTATAGTACTCATCTGATATTTTTAATAGTTTTAGGTGAGTTTTCATATGCCATTTTGAATTTTTATGGCACCTAATATGTTTTTTTCTGAAAAGGAAATAAATTTTTATACAATGTAATCAAATTTGACAATAAATATAGGGCATGACCAAATAAAAAGTATAGTTCACAGTTAAGAAAAGAGAAAATGGTTAACTATTAGCATAATTCTCGAGCAAAAATAAAATTATTGACTACAGTAAACTTTAGCAAAAGTTGATAATTATATTAGGGCTTAGTGTATTAATTCTCTGAAGCCCTGAAATTATGTAAAATATTCTATTAGATTATTTACTTTCAAACAAAGAAAAGAGGCAATATTATTAAATGTATTATTTTTCTAAGCAACATATGGTATTATATAGACTACTATTTTTATTTAAATGTTTTAAGCTAAAAATGGTTCATTCATTTCAGGTTCCCTTTGACACAAATAGAGAGAAAGGTTCTAGACTCCTTCAAACTTCAAAGAAGCCTCAAAAGATATTTATATATGACATTCAGTCCCAAGTCATCAAGCTTAAGCAGAACTAGTTGTCCCACTTACAGACATGAAGAGTTAAAATATCGGGGCTAGTTTTAGCCCCATGCACTGTCCTTGGTTTTGGTGATGCTCAGGGAACAATGCCATGAGTTAGAGTCAATGGGAGCTGTGAAGCCAAGATGGTTTCAAATGGTTTAAGTATTAGCCAGTACTTAAACTGTATGGTGAAGGTGTTTCTCTCACCACCCCAACCCTAAAAATGTACCTAACACAGAACACTTTTAGTTTAAAATCTGCACTCTTAGCTTTACTGCATATTTAATTTTTTGTTAGTCCCTATTAGTGTTGCAAAAGCATATTTTCTCGATCAGAGATAGTCATGATGTGGCTGCCCGGTAAAAGTTCTATTAGTTCCAAGAAAGTTATAATCCACCCAATAGAATTTTGTTCTCTGTCACAGTCTATGAGAACAGTAGAAATTAGTGGGTAATGATAGTTTTGACAGAGCCCAGGGAAAGAACTTCATCATTTTCACTTTTCAACTGCACTGTGGTAGCAGTAGAAATCTGTAGGATTTGGAGGATCACTGCTATTTTCACTTTAAATACCTCTATTGATGACTGAGAGAATTGGTATATTATTTATTTCTCTCACTTGTTTCTCTAAGAGTCAGCCAGTGCAAGCCTATGCAGGAGATGCAAAAATGAAGTTTCTTTGCTTCCATTTTAATTTACCTATTCATCTGCATTTCCCCGTGCTCTAGCAGAGAAGCCAGGCTCTCTGCTGGCCATAGGAGTTAGCAGCAAACTAAATAGGCAGTATTTATAATAATCACAGGTATTTCACCATTACCCAAAATATTTAGCTCTGTCACTAAATATATTATCTGCTTCAAGGAACTTGTCTTTTCATGACTCAATTAGAGCTAAATACATTTATCTTTTATTGTTCTTGAGGACCAGGGTGTGAAGTAAGGAGCTTATAGGAAGCACTCTAGAGTTAGAAAGACTTATGTTTAAACCTTAGATTTATAATTTACTGACTATGATCCTGGCAAGTTGCTTAACCTTTCTGAGCCTCTTACCTTCTGCAAAATGGGCAAAATCCATTTTCCCAGAGGATGAATTAAAATAATGTGTAAAGAAGTTGCCTGGCAGGGTGTTTGGCATAAAGTAGATACAATTAACGAATGTTTTGTCTTCTCCCTTCTTCCTCTGTTATTGTTTAAGGTCCTTTAGAGTATTAGTTTTATTTTAACGTATTTTAATTTTATCTTGTATTTATGCATGTATTTTAACTATTTAGCTGTGGATTCTGTACTTTTGCATTAAACAACCATTTAAAAAATTGTGGTGAAAAAATCACTATGAAGCATATTTATTTCAAATTATTATAGCTTGAGTACAGTGCTTTCAGTGGCTAAGGGTTGATGCTATTATAGCTAATGTCATTGAAGTCTGATTAGCATATGAAATAAATATTATTTTATCCCTGTATTAGTACTCTAGGAATCAGCAGTTTTTATTACTTCAAATATGTAAATGGCCCTTTTTGTTTCTATTAATTTTTTCCTTGACAGTTAGAAAATACAGCTAAATATAGAAGAAAATAAAAATTATTTATTATTTATAAAAGGATTACTGCTGCTAACATTTTGGCATATGTTCTACAAGTCATCTTTTTAATGTATTTATGACACTTATTTTAAACCTAATTAATAAGCAAGCTTTAGGGGTTTTTTAAAATAAGATTTTATATTAGCTAAACAATTTAAAATTAGAAGAATTTAAAACAGCATTAAACATTCATTCTCCACTTACATGTATATAAATAGAAGAAATTGTTGAGCAGCTCAAACGTATCTAATTATTCTTTATGGCTGCCCAGTGGAACTCAGTAATGTTTCACTGTGAATGTACTCCTAAAGTCCCAGCACTGGTTTGCTTCTGGAAAGAACAAGTAACATTTCATTCCTTCATAAATGCTAATCATGTGTTTCGTTCAATAAAGATATTTTGTTGATTTATAACCACTGAGGGGTATATGTAAATGGTAACAAATTTTTAATTTCTTTTTTTAATTGTTGTTTAAGTACAGTTTTCTGCCTTTTCCTCCCACCCATCCCTGCCACCCCAGCCCTCCCCACCTCCCTCCCCTGTTTCCACCCCCTTGTTATTGTCCATGTGTCCTTTATAATTGTTCCTGCAAACCCTTCACATGTTCCTTTTCCCCTATAATCCCCTCCCCCTTCACATATTATTTATTTTATGTGAAGAAATAATACTTTCTTCACATATTATTTATTTGCTAAAGGGGCCCATTTTATCTAAATGTTTATACTAACAAATGGTCATTTTTTTATAGTAGAAATAAATAGAAGATCTTTAGTGATTAGTGTGCTCATAGTTCTTCCTTTCTAGAAACTCACTATTGTTTTATTTTAGCCATAAAATAATTTTCTGTGCCTTTATTTGCTACAACTCTAGATGTATTAAACTAATCTTTCTGTTGAATTTTAAATACCAAAACTGTTTTATTCCCCAGAAAGATGTTTTCCTTTTTTTTCCAGATATGCTTAACTTTTTACTTTTTGCATTAATAGAAGTGGTGATGACCAATTAAAAAAAGATACTAGGAATAATGAGGTTATCTTTAACATGTGTTTCTATAATTACATGCTAACATGATTGGGTATTTTTCAAGAAAATCATTTTTTGATTAAAAGTATATCTCACTTTGCAGAATAAATTCCTGAAAAGCTGTTAATAGAAAGAACATTTATTAATAGGATCTTTCCTCCCAATCCCTTTTACTCTGAGATTAGAGATGCTTCCAGCTGAGAGAAAATGGCTTCAGATCTGTGCTGGGAAATCTATGTTGGGAAAGCCAGTGGTGCAGCTCTCTTCCCAGCTGTGCATTCAGTGACGTCACGTTGGTGGCCGTAGCGCGAGTAGTTAGACCATGGAAATGAGCAAATCTTACACAGCAAGGCTTTTTCCCCAGATTGCTGTTGAACATTTATTGCACAGTTCTAAACACAGCCAGCTTTTAAAATCCCATTATTAAAGAAAATTATTTACTTTTTATTAACTCAAGAAATAAATCGGTAAATAAATATA